GTGTGCGTTTATGCGCGGATGAACACGCTTTACTGTTCAGAGACATGCTTTCTCTGCTTATTGTTTCATGCTGGGAGGCGAACGTTTGATGTTTCAAGAGCATAATCTTGTTTCTTCTTCATACGTTTTGGGCGTTGTCGCTTCGGTTTGGGTGCTGGGGCCAGATTGGGTGAGGGGACGGGGCCGCTGGGCTGACCGGTGTCTATCTGGACAATGGCCGTCTTTCACCACGACTCCTTTTCTGAGTTGTCTCTGCTCCAGGTCGTTAACTGTAATTGGTCCGTGCTGGAGGAGGACGGCAGACATCTGAGCTGGCCCGGGCAAAGACGGAGTTCACTGTTTCCGTTCCAAGTTACACACACACACAAACACACACAATCATCCACTCATCAGCTTGTTGGTATCCGCACCCTGAGACTCAACAGAGATGCACACAGGATGACCCTTCTCTTTAGGTTTGCAAAATCAAACAGTGTTTGTGAAATGATTCCGACACAGCCTACATCCGCCTCCACTCAGGACTGTAATTAAACGTTTGCTCTCCCAAGCATGTCCATGCTGTCGTCCAGCTAAGAGACTGGGAGCTCGGCGGGACGGAGAATAGGGGAGGTCTGCATGTGGGAATGGGTCGAATGTGCAGGAAGCCTGCGGGAGGCGGAGGGCTCCGGCCGCTGTGCTGGCAGAGCTCCTACCAACGCAGATGGTTTGGTCGACTTCGAACACACACACACACACTGATGCGAGAGAGAGCCCCCTGGCAGAAGATGACACATGCACGTTCGAGGTGGGGGTGACCATGCCCACAGGCACTCAATCCCCTTTGACACACGTCGGATCCACTTTATAAACCCCTAAAAAAGCCGACCGTATCCACGGATCAGAGCACGGATGTCCAAAGTAAGATTCCGCGCGTTCCCGAAAGGCTGGAAAACATCAGAGAAGGAGCTGCTGCAGGGCATAAACAATCTGCTCGGCCCGACGCGGAGCTGGGAGTCCAGAATGTTCTCTGGCTGGGGCTCGACGGGAGCGGGCCAACAGCAAATATCGTTGAATATTTGCAAAAGAACGTGTCTTCTACGTTTGCTGTGAGGCGCGGCGAGGTTCTCTGTTTTGTTCAAAACCCAGAAGGTGTTCCATGAAAAACCGGCCGGGACACACACACACACACACACACACACACACACACACACACACACCACAGACAGCAGGTGTCCAAACCTCAAGCCCTGCTGTGAAGCTGAGTCAGAGGGAGTTCAGAAACGTCAGATATTTAAACTTTACTCAATTCGCATCGTTTTAAAATCAAACAACTGTGCTTGATATTAATTAAAAACATCTTCTCAGTAATCTGAGTGACGCACAACCACACCAGCTGCACGTATCAGTGAGGTCGGGTCGGCAGTCGGAGCAGATGATGCATTTGGTGTTGCCCACAGCCACGTCAGTTCTGGGAGCCGCATCTGATCGGGGGAGTTTTCACCTCTGAGTTTAAGCGAAAGGTGAATTGCAGCTCATTAATCGAGCCGGCAGCTCTTTATCTCGCCGGTTAACGCGGTTAGTTGTATGCGTGTGTAATAACTAGTGAAATAAACCCCATTGGGCAGTGGTCAGAGCTGCTGACAGCTCACTCATTCTGTTCCATCTGAGGGGATGGAAACGCTGCCTCTCTTGGGGCCCCTCCTGCACACCAGCCTTCTCCTGATTGTACCACTCTGTGAGAGTTGTAGTTTTGATTGACATGCAACAGCGGCGTCCATTTTTTCTCCACCTGGTGGCTCGTCTGGGATTTCCCGTCTGACCGAATGACCAAATATCCCCATGTCGACTTCCTGAATCCAATCAATTCGGAGTTCGTGGTGCTGAGAGTCAAATGACACTGTCCATAAGAAGCTAGAAGGTGGGACCATGTTTACCGGTCACAACTTGGAGGCTGCGATCAGCAAAATAACCGACAAGTAGCCGTGGGCTCTCTTCAAGTGGAGAAAAAATCTGTTTGCATAAGACTTTAGACTAGCGGCCTCCTGACCTGCAGCCAGTTGCATAACCTTAAATTTCACGCGGTCACAGCAGAGCTGATGGAGCCCTTATCTGATAGCGCTGTGGGCCCCCTGCTTCCGGTCAGCCTCAGGTCAGCCCTGATACGATGGGCGGAAGCGGAGGCGGACTAACGACGTTAGCGTGACCTTTGTTCGATGCTCCTTATCGAAGTAGCAAAAGTAGAAAAACCGGGGAGGCTGCGATATACATCGCCGTCGTCTTCCAGTCGCCCACGAAGGGCTGGAGGCAATTCGCGAAGAGGGCAGATTCGAGCGAGCCTCGGGGAAGCTCCTGTTCATCTGCACTTCAAAGACACGGAACGAAAGAGGAAAAAATAACAAGAAAGTGAATCAATAATTCACGAGCTAGCGAGCGTCCCAGCCCCCATGACGGGAACGTCTTCCACAGACCTCCCAGATAAACAGATACTTCCCACTCCTCCCTGAACGGAGCAAGCGTGGAACGCCGGGCTGGGAATATCTCCTTAAAATCCATTCATGCCGGGTGCTGATCTGTCCGCGTGCTTTTGTCTGAGGGACCTCCGAGACACAGTCGGGATGCCTGGTTGTACTTTCACATCCTGACAGCGACTAAAAAAAACAAAAAAAATCTACAAAGGAAGTGAGTAGGCGTCAATTTGACATGAGATGAATTGACAACAGATGCCTTTGCAGAACATGAAGCCAGCGTGATATGAGAATACTTTTTAAAAAAAAATCTAAAGTCCACTTTTTGCCGTGCACTTTTAAATCGCCGCTTTTCCACTCGGGGCCGGCCCCACGAAACAGTTCCAGGTCAACACCTACTCAGTCGGGGGTTCCATCAGGGGGGGGCCGGCACACGCTCGAATCTCCGCGATGATTCAACCCTCGGCAGTTATCGTGTTTTTAGATTGGTCCGAAGAGGCCCCAAAGCTACAAATTGCAGTCGATTACAGAAAAAAAACAGCTAATAGCACAACACGTCATAGGACCAAAGGCAAGCTTTATTTCAGCATTTGGTGAGATGAAGACCCACAGAGGCCCCCGCTTGTGCTTCAAAAACTGTGCCCAGCACTGGTAGGAAGAAGAGAGGAGCTCTGACCTCTCTCTAGACGCTACATCTGCCGGTCCTGAGGCTGGAGGGAACGCGCTCGGCCCTGGTTCTGTGCCCACATCCGTTTGAGGCCTCGCCGGCACACTGCAGCTATTGTCGGCCAAACAGTCGTGACCGCATTTCACGTGTAATTGATCATTACTTCAAGACCGCCGTTTACCGAATTTACAAAGGAACGCACCTCGTGACTTCCTGAAAGTCACAAGGATATCGCGCATGGGGCGGACGCACAGTGGGCCGGCTTCCACCGTGGATCCACAGGATGATGGACATGCAGGTTCTTTATAAGGACAAATCTGTTTTTTTTTCTTTTCAACTATTCCACTAGGTACTGTGGCTGTGTTCCTGTGAGGCGAAGGCACTTCAAATGGAGAGAAATGGAGACATTCCGAGGCATTTTTTGCCTTTTCCTTATGTTTTATTCCACCACATCATATTCACAGATACCTCTTTTAAGAGTGAGGTACATATATTTATAATATTGGGTAATAACTTATACCAATTCAGCTGTTTATGTCCATGTTTTACCAATTTCCTTTTCTCAGTTTGTGATGAAACTCTACTGGGGCACAAAAAAAACTCACCCAAAGTATATTTGCTGCATTCATTTCTCTTTAAACTCTGAATGTCTCAAGTTTTTTTTAAATCTTTGCTGCAACTGATCCCACTGAATTCTCTCATATGCGGCCAGAGGATATTTTTTCTGCTGAGTAAGCGTTGAGACACCACTGGAGCAAACACGGCCGGTCTTGCGGCAGCAGATGGATACATGAACCTCTCACACACATCATTTTACAGCCGAATCGGGACGCTCCGAGCTGAGCGGGTCGCTTGGTGGATGGAGCTCCTCACACAGGGATAACGGTCACAGACTGGGCTTTGATAGAAGTCACGGGCAGTGGTAAAGATGTGTTCCCTTATCAGCATGTTCTGTGTCCACTCAGCCAACAGGCCACTTCCTCTGACACACCACACACACAAACACATTATCAGCAGAGTCTGCCTGGGTGAAAAAAAGAGGACTAATGTAGGTTTCTTCCAGTCCAGTTAAACTGCTCCACAGGAAGCAGCTTTTTTTTTTTCTTATTCCAGATTCTGTGAGGTTTGATTCAAAGAGTGGTCAATGGAAAATAAATGTCCTGGGTGTGTGTGTGCGTGTGTGTCTGTGTGTGTGTGTGTTTGGGGTGGGTGGGTGACTTTTTAAATCGACAAAGCCCACACCTGAAGAAACTAAACCGCTCTTAATTGGCTCTCAACGCCTTTCCTCCCCAAATAAAAACATGTATGCCAGTTTATTTCAGCAACACGTGTCAAAGGTGTGGACACATGTTATTTTTATCTAAAAAATGCTAAAAATAAATAAATAAATAAAGGCTCCGTCCGTGGGTTCCGCCGGCCAGGGTCCCGCGGAGGAACCGTTTGAGTGGCAATGACTCGCGTGACAGGCGCGAAAATACTTAACTCCATTGAAAATGTCCTTTAAAGACACGTTCGCTGCCGCACGCGCTTTTTTAAAGTCCATTTGAAACGGCTTTCCTGCACGAGGACGGAGGACAGGTCTCGTTTTTGTCTCCATAAGACGCAAGGATGATAACGCTTTTAACGTCAACATTTAGCTCGTTTCGTCTCGTTGCTCGCAGCTTTTCGGCTTCACGACTGTACTCTTAACCGTTGCTGAATGTACATTAGGCCACTCTTTTGTGGTGTCTTTGGCGTTGACTCTTTCCAGCGGAATAACCGCGGAGGGATGCTGCGCCTCAGCCGTCCCGTCCACAGCCTCCGGAAGCGGCCCGGCCCGCTGCACTCCCGGGCGACCTCCTTGACTAACCCAGGACATACACAGACATTCGTTGTCGGAATATACTTACGCCCTCGCTCTGGGGAAGCCCATGGACAGCAGAACGTCCAGGTTGGAGCCGCATTTCACCGAGCCCAGCCGGTTCTGCCGGAGCCTCCGTGGAAGGATTTTACTGTACAGGTCCTCTTTGGCCGCCATGGCCCCCGCGACTTCACCTGGTCCACTGCGAGTCCGTCACAGGCCACCTCCGGCTCTGCCGCTGGTCCATGAGCTTCGGCAGGGTCCGAATGAACGGAGGTAATCAGCGGGCGAGCAGCAGCCGAGCTCCGCCCCCCTCACGAGGAGGCTGCACACCAGCTAGGCTGGGCTGAAACGGTACAGGGACACCGTATAAAACTGCACACCAGCTACGCTGGCTGGCTGGGTTTAAACGGTACAGGGACACCGGACAAAACTGTACACTAGCTACTATCGCTGGGTTTAAACGGTACAGGGACACCGGACAAAACCTGCTTATTGTCAGGGAAGGAAAGAGTTATTTGGTGTGATGTGCATTCAGCTTTAGGGGTCAGTAATTCTTATACACAATGACAAATGTCAAGAGGTAACTTGACTAAAAAAAATACACTGCATAGGCCCACGTACCATGTTTGTAAAAATTATTATAATAATTAACAGACAAAATTACATTCGTTATACAGATATACTGTAAATTGGTCCATAGTCTATAAAACTAGTTAAATGAACTCAAATAATAAAGTCAGGCATCTCTGCTAAACACTAAATTATCAGGGTATCACTTTGTGTCTGCTTTTATGGACAGGATCATTCCATATTTCCCCAATACTTAAGTCATATGATTAAATATCTGATAGCTAGCTTAATATTTGGTTTTGTTCATGGCTCTTTGAGGTTTGTGCAAATGATCGAGTATCTTCTATAACTGCAATAAGTGCTCCATTCCATGTGTCCCCTGAAGTGACAGCTGGACTGTCAGACAGACTCCACCCATCTCTAACTAAAAGTCCAGGGGTTGGCCTTCAGCTGGCTGACACCGTGTCTGCGTGAGACTCTGTTCCCCGGCGGCGGTCAGATGGGTTGTATGGCGAGATGACACAGAAGACACAGCCTGCCTCCTGGAAGGCTTCCCTCATCTCCACCTGGTGGGAGAAACCCAGACTGCATCAGACACAAAACACCCACATACTGTGTTGTATATCTTGTGCTAATCTGTTTATGGTCTTTTTTCCTGGTTATACATTTTATAATGTTATTATTTACACATCCAGCTATTTTACTCCGGGATGAATAAAGCTTCTTGGTTCTATATCTTCACTTTCAAGCTGCATTTCTAATCTCTCTTGTGCATCTTTTTACACGTCACTTGTTTTATTTATCTTCTCTCTAATTTGTATTTCAATCCTTATGTGGCTCTCCCTGGTTTTAATTCTGATAACCAGTTGGCACGTGAGTTCAATAGATTTTACGTTAAGTTTGACAGCCTTGATTTTTGGTCATGCGATTTTGAATCTGAAAAACAAACTTTTATGTTCTGGTCATACTCCTTTTGATGTTCTCTCTGTGGCCGAATCCTTTAAATAAATACTCTTACGTTGTAAAAAGCCTGGGTGCTGATTATGTAAAATGTGAGCTGTTCTCCTCTTGTGGAACAATTGTCTCCCATTTTCTGTCGTATCTTTCAGCTGTCGCCACCCAACAGAAGGTGCCGGAGCCAGTCCATAGTGTGACTTGTAGCTAAGACCAACCACCCTAAAGCCTTTAATGACCTTAGAGCTGTGACACTTCCCTTGTCTTGAAATCCTGTACAGTTTTACCCACAGTTGAGGATGCTACTGCCACCTTATTAAACGTGGTTTTCAACATTTCACATCTTTCTGAGATTTGCAATCCAGTTCCAAGCTGATTTGAACACTATGGGCTGGATTTTCTGCCTTTTTAACAGCCAAAGCACAGGGAGAGGGTTAATGAATGCGTGTCGGTGGAGATGGACACAACTAAAGCTGAATCTGTATGATGAACTGACCAGTTCTTCATCCATCCGGTTCTAACTACTTCTGAAACTGTTCGGGAAACTGTTCAGAGGTAATATCCTTAAATGGATGCGGGCACTGAATGTTTTGCATGAAGAAGCCTTACCAGTCTCGTCTGATCCAGACACAAGCCCACCACTGCCCCCCCACTGCCGGGCAGCTTCACGGCCGAGCCGAACTGCGAGAGCCAGCACAAACCATTAATGCACACGTAGTATCACACTTCAGAGGACACACACAGGTAGAGATGAAGAACAGACATCAAACAAACTTTGTGCCGGAGCCTTTAAAAACCCACCTGTCTCGCCAGCTCAACCATCTTCAGGTTTCCAGGACCCAGACATTCATCGGTGTAGACAGACCTGAGGAATGTTTTCACATTAATTCTGCGAGTCTGATGTGTAGAGTGGGCTTAATCCACAGTATTCTTAACTTCGAGTGAAAGACCTTTTAGGTTTAACACTAGGGGAAGTTTAAGGCGGAAATAAAACCTGCTAATAATGTTATTTTTATGTGGCCAGGACATGGGGGGGGGGAAAGAGTGAATGGAGGTTTAATCACTCAGTACGGAGAGGAAAAAAACTATCAAATATAAATGTTCTTAGGGAAAATAGAGTATAGTAGGAGTAGACACCCCTAAAATATACTGTCTTCGGATGATCAGCACTGCTTACAAATTTGTAGAAATTTCCATGATTTAATTTGTTCATTTTTAAAAAATCTGTTCAAATTCTCTTACATTCCCAGGTGTTCCTTTTTCTTTAAGACGTTTAAATACTGAGGCCCAAGTGGCCTAATGGATAAGTCACTGGCCTCCTAAGCCAGAGGTTATGGATGGATGGAAGTTTAGATACTGTTGTATTAATAGTGCTGTTTACCTGCGCAGCTCAAAGTTCTGGTCCATCAGCTGGGCCAGACGGCTCCAATCTCTGGTCTGGATAGCTACTCTGAGGAGAGAGGATGTTTTCATCAGATCTAACAGCAGAACTGCTCCGATAAGGCAGCTAAACCAATGAAGCACGTGAGCGTACACAGCCTGAACTCATGTCAGGGTTAGGTCAAACCCTTACCTTGCCTGGTCAGTGAGCTCAGCAAAAGACCTCATGGCCTCCACGACCATTGGTTCTCCTGGGGAAAATATGAATAGTTAGAAAAACTAACCCCTATAGTAAAGGACATAAAGAAAATACAAAAATGTTTATTTGGAGCTAATAAAATAAATCAATAAATGAAATAATGGCGGCTCTAAATGAATTTGAATGTCAAATCAAATGACTCGAGTAATCAGAATCAGAAATACTTAGAAATAATTATTTTTGTTACCAACTGCAGATATACAACAGCATATACATATATACATGTCTATCCATATATACATGTATACAACATTCCACACAAAAATATAAATAAATATATACATATGTAACTATATGTATATAAACAGAGCTAAAATAAGTAAAAATGATAGTGTGATAGTGTAAATAAATGGGAATAATTTAGTAAGAATTACAAAGAGGGTGTGTCTGACTCTCTGAGGGAGGCTTTGTAGAGATTGATGACCACAGGCAGGAATGAAAAAACAGCACGGGTAATGTTCCTCTGGAAGACGTACCAGCGAGCCAGCGCTGTCGGATGTTGCTGTGGATGCGGCCGGAGTCACTGGGGTCGCTCAGGTAGGCCAGCCAGAACGGAGGAAGCTCACTCATGTCCATGGAAACATAGTTTCCTGATAACAGACAATAAACACGGTGAGATTTTTCAATGTCTGAGACTGTATCTGAATATAACATTAGGGGCATGGAGCCCTAAAACAGAAGGTGTGGCCCCATAAAGCCCTAATATTAATATCACAGTCAGTCAAAGACTCCAGGAAGAGAGAAAATTACACTGTAAAAGCCTAAAAGCACAGAACTGTTGGGAGTTCTCTAAAAAGTATGCACAAAGAATTAGGGACTTTTAAGCATAAACGTCATATGAAATACTATAAATGATTTTCCCTACAATTGACCTTTATAGAATGTAAGTCATGAAACCTTAGTGTTTGCAAATCATGGCTTTTCTGTATATGTTAGTGAATTTGTGTTATTCAGGGACAAGAGTACCGTAACCCTGCTCTTCCATGAGCCTCTTGCTGAAGTCCATGTAGATTAACCCCTCATAGACCTGCAAAGCAAAGAGAAAAAAGACGACTTCCAGTGTAGACTAAAGCTCCCTTGCAGACCGGACTGTCCAGCATGAAGGACGTCACTGACCTGCACCACTCTGTCCTGCAGGCCCGCAGTGATGAACAGCTCATCGGTCTCCACGTTCAGGATGAAGTTTGCTCGAATTGGTCGAGGGAGATCCTTCGGAAACACGGATCAAAGAGGGAGTGGGTAAAGGCGCTAGCTCCAACAGCTTTAACACAACAACAAAACATGTCCCCAAAAAAAACCCTCTTACGTCTTCTGTGATGTTGTAGAATTTCATGAGACACTTCAGAGTTGCTGACACAATGGCACTGTGACAAGAAGAGATTGACAAGTAGATTATTACATTCAAAGTAATGAAAATTGTCAAGTAAAACAGTTCAGAGAAAACTAAATTTACCTGCTTCCGGCGAGGCCCTTTGGTAAAAGAGAGAAATAACTGAATTAGCGTGTTACAGTCTCTTTTACACAAGCCTATTTCTGAGTGTACCCTATATATTTTTTTAAATCCAGACAGATCCTCACCACTTGCCGAGGAATATTGGTGTCGTACTTCAGTGTGAAGTTCTGCTTCGTCAGAGCAATGCTGCAGAAATAACGCACATCCAAGTGTTCACGTGTGTCAGATTTGAAGCTCAAGCACAGTAAAGACGAAGCAGAGGGAGAGGAAAGCGACTTTTGCTATGTCTAATGTGTTGTGACGGTGGCTTTTTTATTTTTACTTTATCGAAAACAATGTGGATACTTCTTCTGAAAGCCAATCAACCAATTTGTTCTCATAATACCTTCACCAATTGTCAATGGATAAAGACACACAAGACACTAAATATATCCAAAGCCTTTCAAACTGACAAAGAGAAGTAAGGGTGAACATAGAGTAACAGTAAGTGATCGATTATAAGAAGTAAATATTTGCGGTGTGTTGATTAAATGCAAATATGTGATTTAATTTGTTCTCAAAATAATTATCTGTGATTGCAGTTTGGGGTTCATGTTCTTTTTATCCCTTACTCAGAAATATCTAGTTCAGCTATTTTAAAGGTGATGCCATCGTCCATGTGGTCACCTGACTGTGGGGTGAGGACACTGTAATCTTACCCTTGTTTGGAGCAGAACTGATAGAACTTCTTACAGGTAGCCTGCAGAAGCCGCAGACCTCCCAGATAACTGCAGCAAAACCATGAGGACACGGGTTTAAAACATCCAGAAGGGGATCTGACACCGTGCCATGTTCCAGCTCACTCGGACATTTACTCACCCCTCCTTTCGACTGATGCAGAACAGATCCTGCAGACTGCCGAACTCCGTCGGGTCGTTCAGCGGGTGAGGAACCAAAACCTATAAAGTCACACCACCCGTCGTTTTAGCACAAGAAGTCTCTAAATCAGCGTGTTTGGGCCACATTATAACATCTTACCAAAGTCTGGCTCTCCACCAGAGTGACCTCTGCCCAGAAGTTAGAGATGGTCATGGCGATGGTTTTCCCATTGAAGCCGTCCGAGGGATTCCCCATCAGTCCTACCCTGTGGGTCAGAAATTATTTGGGGAAAAATGTCAAATAAGAACTGGAAACGATTTTGGCAGCGGACCTTCCTTTATTTTTATTGGATGTGTTTTCTGACCACTTGTTTCCCACAGAACAATGCTATATACTACATATTCTGTTTAAAATATCTATGTATTGAAAAAATATCAATATTAACTGGATGAAGTCTGACCCTCCCACGGTCAGTCAGTGGTTACAAAGTAAAACATGTTTACATGATGAAACATATGACAGGCCATTTACAGGTGAAAGTACCTGTTTTTCTGAGAAGCTGGACCCCAGTTACTGATTATCTTGCTTAGGACTCTTATACACTTTTACTATATCCATGTATTATTATTATTGCTATTATTATTATTAAGGCTTATTTAAATCTAAAATATCCCTTTTCTCCTGGTGTACAGAACTTGATAAGATATATGCTATACCCTTTAGAGTGTGACAGATTAGACCTAATTTCTGTTTTATTTTATTTTTTATTTGTATGTATTTATCTTTTATGTTTGCCTGTCTCTTTCTGTTCTTCTTGATGATGCCAAGTGCCTGTTAATCTGCATTTAAGGCAATAAAGTAAAAAAAAGAAAAAATAATTTTTTGGGATATCAGTTCTAATAGGATGGGAAAAAAGCTTGGGTTGTACACAAAAAATCCAGACAGAGACAGAGGCTCCATAAAAAACTGAGCGGAGGTCAGAGCTTTCTCACCTGGCGTAGGAGCGACACGTGATTGGCTTAGCAGGGTTGTCTTGTTTCTTCATGGAGTAGTGCGTGAGCCACTTAGTATAGTCTGACAGCCCCTAACAGAATAGATAAAAAAACAATACTGATTGTATTCACAAATAAGCTTTAATAAGGTAAAAAATGTGTATTTAATGCCACTGAACTGCCAGTCTGTAAGCAGCCATTGAATATCGCTGGGACATTGAGATTTCTTCAGGAAACTCACTATGTGTGACAATGATCATGATTAAGGGCTTAATGGAGTTTAATGGAGGCAAGCGCACAAACCACTTGTCCAATGAGCTGGAACCCAGTCGGCAGCTTCATGCCAAACACATCCAGCTGCTTCTCATTGATGAGCCACTCCTGAGGATGGGAAGCATTACAGCAATTACCTACTATTTCTATAAATACAGGAAAGTATCCGTTTTTTAAGTACTACTGATGCTGGAAAATAAAGAAAAGGAAACTAAAATGGAATAGCATGTAAAGTATGATGTTGTTGGTTGTACACTTGTGCCTTGAAATTCATTTGGGTTTCACATTATAACCATAAATATATTTAACTGAAGCTGTTATTTTCAGATAGTGGAGTCCTAACAGGCTTCCAGTTCAACGCTGTTTGGACTGAGTGTCTGTACAAAGTGTCGTCTACGGACCCAGAACTGGCCAAAGGTTCTGTTGGGGACCTCCGGCCTCTGGCTGAGGAAGTCCGACATGTAGGAAAGCGTGTCCTTCTGGATGCAGTAGAACACCACGCTGGCCAGCCGCGACTTCGTCAGCAGATCTTGCGGTTTCTCCAAGAAGCGAGTTATCCTGATGATTGCAACTCAAAAGGGTTAAGACCGCCACACAGACTCAAGCAACAAAGGGCAAAAGATAATTTTAAAAAACTGTGATCTCACACAGTCTCACCTGTGGGTGTCAGGACAGACCTCCACAATGCCCCTGGAACTGCTTTTTTCACTTTCCTCCAGCTCATAGTATATGATCAGCTCTCCAGGCTGCAACACACAATACAGTCCACCTAACTATGAATTCATCTTCTCTACAGCTTAAAAATGTGCTTGGTCCATTTTCCAACATTTTCCCGACAGCGTTTTTCCTTTTTTCTCATTGAAATACATCTAATTCTGATTTATTACATGTTTTGGGTGTTATTATTAAACAGGTCTAAAGATTTAGATGCAGATCCATGTATTTGAAAATGTGTACTATTGAAAGACATTGTTCATGTTTGAAATGACACAGGACAACATTAGAATTTCCACTTTGAACAGACAGTAACTTAATTATCTCACAGTGCCATACAAACATGTCCATTTTACTTGTGCTCAGGAGTCATTCAGGCACTCCAAACTTCTGAAACAACATAAGATTAATTATTTTGGGCACATGAGTACTGTGGTGAGGTCACAAGGTTGGACAGCACCACGTGTGACTGGTTTTACCAGACCAAAAAAATGGCCAGAGGTGCTAACAAACAGTGTTTTCCTGCAGCAATCAACAGTTTTTACAGCTTTTGTGGATTTTCAGATCAGAGCTTTAGAGGTTTCTCTGGCGGGGTAAGGAATTTTACTTCTTGTGTGAAAGGGGATTAAAGTTGCAACAGGTTCAGTTTGAGCACAACTTTCATTGTTGTTATGCTAGTATAGTAGCGTGTGAGTATCATGGGTGCACAAATTGTTTTTCTTTGTTTTTTGTGCTTTAGAAAAATTTAAAGCAGAACCGAAACATGACAAAATACAGGACAGTTTTCTACTACTGAATAACAGATTTGTCACAACTTTCAAAAGAAGATGGAAGCTCAGAGAGTCTGTAGTTTATCCTGAAACAACTCCAACAATAGAAAACATCACAGTGGATTGGTGCCCTCTCACCTTTGACCTGAAGAACCGAATCACTTGAGCAATATCAAAGTTCTGGTCAGCACACAGCATGTCTCCTGCAATCTGCTCACACAGTAAAGAAATTCCGATGAAAAAACACCCGGCTGTGTGAATTGTCAAACGTGAATTAACGCCAAAAGATCCTTCCTACCACCATGATGTCGTCCTCCAGCTTTCGGCTCCGTATGGCGAGTTCCAGATCAGCCACGGCGCCAAGTCGATCTTCCAATGTCGTGCTGCCATCGTTCACTATATTCTCCACCGGGAAATCGTTTGCTGTAGCCCAGCGTTCATAGTGCTTATACCTGGTAAAAGAAAAATGAAAACAACTCAGGCATCTGTCTGTGGTGAAGCATCCCCATCAATGGGGGCGGAATAATGCAACTTACTTGTCTGCATTAGTAACCAGATACACCTCAGTGAAGAGCTGTCGCCTGCAGAGGGATAGGAGGTGTTCAGAGAGGAATCGGCAGCTCAAACATCAGCAGATATTCCACACGTTATCCAACTTACATGTTTACCGTTTCCCACCAAAAGTCGAGGATCTTTTTTCCCCCGATGCCAGGAAGCAAGGCCTTCGGTACTCCAGTCAAGAGGCTATACAAGCCTGTGTCATCATTCTGAGAAAGATAAATCAGTACATTCGACAGGTTACGAGCACCAGCGGTACCATAGAACAAAGTCAAACACTTTAGGTTGTCTTTAAACACAGTACGTGATGATCTTTTGATTTTGTCAAAGATTTTTTGCATTTCTCTCAAGGCTGCAATACAGAAAATATTGAATATTCAATACTGAATATTTAAGTATTCAAATGAAAACTTGCATCAGGTAAATGATCATGATCACATAATTTATTACATGATGAAATAATAATGAATAATAATGTGGAGCCTCAACACGCCCCTCTTCCCTTCTCTGTGGCGCGTGCCAAACTCCATGTCAGAAACCAGCCTATTAAGGTTTATTTTACCGTGTGGGAAGAACGGTAACTGAATTAAGTAATTTACTATTTCATTTAAAAATGTATCTTACAAGCAACTATTCGGTAAACTCCAATAAAAAAATAACCAAAAGGTTTTATTTTTAACTACACTTAAACTTTGAAAGAATAAAAAAAATGCCAACGCAAAGGCATCACACTACTACGACATTGGGACTCGTTTTGAAAAGTCTTCTCATCAATTGCCGGCCGAACGTCCCGGTTCGTTGTTATGTTTTTCTATACATCTCAAAAATGATAATAGATACTGAAAATATTCAGTAGCTTGAGAAAATAAATAAAGTTGTCAAATTCTTCAAGCCATTCAGGTAACGGCTGTGAACTTTGCACTGCTCCAAGTTGTCCTGCAGAAAATGGCAAACCTACCTTGATTTGTGTCTCTAAGACGGTGCCGTGACCGGCTACGAGCAGTATGCAGATCATAGCTCAACTTTTTGTCCAGCTATTGACAAGAATATACAGTATAATGTACCCGGAGGAGAAACGTCCTCGGTCCCTCGAATAATTAATGACTAGCGTCAATAAAAACTTCCGGTGAATTCTCTCCAAAATAAAAGGCTCATGTAATGCTAATGGAGGACACGGAAATGAATACAAAATAATGAATTCTACAACACTACCCATGACCAACTTTAGTAAAAACTACAAGAACACCATAAGACTTCATATGTTTTATTACAAAGAGATGCACATTCCACAACGCAATGCTCACCGACCCTCTTTAACCCAGTTAGTTACATTGTTGCAATGCAGTCACCGTCCCCAATGAGGCTTTGTGAAAAGTACAAAAACAAAACACAAAAAAAAGACCCAGACCGAGACCAGGTACGGATAAGGGATGCCAACACATGAATAAATGCTGAGACATTCAATGAGCTCATTTGATATTGAGGAGGACTGTACTGCTCTGCTGAGCTTTAGCTAACCAAACGCACGAGTAGCTTCCGTTCCAGAGCCTCCTCCACTGGAAGCTAACACAATCATATTTTGGAGCAAGGCATTTGATGTGGCCTTGGCAATTTCTATATGACTTCATTTTTTTTTTTTTTACATCTCTTTCCACATCCATCATGTTAATGATTGTAATGGAATTACAAAGTGACCTGGACAGCTAAAAAATAAGATAAAATATACTCCCCATTTCATGCACACTGAATGATAAGAAAGACTCTTTAAAGCATTTTGAATGCTCTTCCGGCCCCTGTGGTTGTGTTCAAACACACCCAGGCAAAAGGTCAGTCACTGTGGGTCTGTGCTGGACGATCCCACAATGCCATGCTGTCGCAAAAGGTTCCTCAGGATCTGGTTCTTGGATTTCCAGTCTTCCACCTGCAACAAATACAAGGCACAGAGAATGTATTCATGTTTTCTAGAGGAAAATCCCTCGTCAGAATCAGTAGTGACCAGGAAAGGGTCACATGTAGAAAAGGCAGAATTAGGTCATCTGCTAAACGGCTGCTCTTTTGGCTGGTCCCAAAGATGATCCACTGTTACGCCCTCAGCTGAAACCTGGTGGCTTATTTGAATGTACCACAATGTCCACTTTGACCACCTCTTTACAGTTTACAGAACCTGCTCAGAAATGGTTTGAGGTCGGTACTGAGCTGCTAAATCCCAAAGTTCTCGGTCTGACCCACTGTTTTCCAATGTAAACGGCTGTTTTACATTGTTCTCATATAGTCGTCTATGGTGACATGGTCATGTTGTTTGCCTTCAGGATAATAGGCTGAGGCCTCCCCCAAAATTTTTTTCGGATTGCAGGCTAATTTTATCTTTCATTCTTTTCACCTTTGAGAATTTAGTTTAAAATGACGCATCATTTTTCACTCTAGCAGTTGTGCATTAGAGCAACATTAAGGAAACAACTTCAGAGGAAAACGGCATTTCTTCTGCCTTTCTTTTTGGCCAAATGTAAAGAAATAAAATACATTTTTAACCAGAAACAGACATTTGTGAGCCTTGAACGGGGACGGGGCCGCACCTCCTGTCTGAGCAGCTGGTTGTCCACTCGCAGACGTTCCAGAACGCTCACATCTTCTCCCAGTTTCAGGTTACTTTGTCGGAGCTCTTTAATGTACTCACAGGCCTTGGATAAAATCCCTCCTTTACTCTGAATAAAAAATAATAATAAAAAAAAACATTAGCATATAGTTCTGTTTTCTTTGCTTTTTACCATTCGGACATTCCTCTACCCTCCTCCGGCGTGTGGGGCAGTGGCCTAACGCTCTCACCTGCCCAGTCTTGGTGTAGTCCACATTACAGTCTGGGATGGCCTTGGACAGCTGAACAATCCAGTTGTTAATCTTGTCCCTGCGCCTGCGCTCAACTATTTGAAAAACAGTTTTCTTAGACGTGTGTCAAAGCTTTCCCGGGTAACGTTTGTGCCATGCCGCCGGGCGGGCGGGCGGGTGCTGACCTTCGTTGTGCTGGGCTCGCCGCTTCTCGTCCCTGGAGGCCCGAGGAGCTTCCTGCTTCCTGCAGAACAATGACAAGAAGTGGACTCCACTTGTTGAATGGAGAAGGTTTGCCTTAGGACAACACTCAACTCTTACTGAACCTGATCAGGTGCGGATTCTGATTAATAAAGGTGTAGTTACGCCAGGTACGGCTGAGTACGCGGCGCGATCGTCCTTTGATTGGATCCCAGCACTTCCTGGGGTGACATCATCACGTAAACCTGACCTGTAAAACAAAAGAGCTCTGTAAGATGGTGAATAGCTAGCTGTCCCCACTTCTCATTCTAGTCACGTGACACACTGTAACCGAACCATGATCTTAGCTCTAGTCCAGATCCGGGGGGCACTTACCCGCGGGGGTGTTCTGGCCCAGGAGTGTGTCGGAGGCCTGCACCGTGGTCACCATGGTCCCGGTGGTGGCGTCCGCGATGGTGGCCGGATAATAGGTGTACTGTGTCTCGGTGCTGCCGTCCCCCTCCAGCGCCTCGGACTGCGAGAAGACTGCCTGAAAGCGACAGGAAACCAGCAGAACCTGCGGTCAGCCACAATCAGCTCTTGACGTTTGCTTTAATCAAGCTGCAACCACTAAAAAAAGGAGATGTTTTTCCTCTGGATGTTACACCTGAAGTTGTTTTAAAATACAAATAAAATCACTCCTTTGCTCTGAGTTATTCCAGCTAAGGCAGCCCAGCCTGAGCACATCCACTGGAAGTGTCATCCAAAATGGACTTCCAAATGTCCGCCATCCTCGGTGGGATGAGTCCAACGGTTTCTCTGTTTTAACCACGGACGGTTGGATAAGAGCCAAAGGGGTTTTTCTCACCTGTGTGACTGCCTGCGTGGTCGCGGGGAAACCGGCAACGAGGCTGACCGCAGCGCCGCCGTCTGTCTGGCCCTCCAGCTGGCCATCCGACACCTGGATCACCCTGTAGGTCACCTGCAGCCCGTCAGAGTACGCTTAAGAGGGCGATCTCACGCCGGAGAGCGCGTATAACCAAAGTCTGAACAGAAATGTTAGGCCTCTTTTAAATCGGACAAGTGGCTGGAGTATAAGCGGACTGGACTCGTACACCCGGGTGAGTTATCGAAACCAATGCAGTACAAATAAACCGGTGTCCGAGAGGATGTGAGTGCAGGGCTCATATAAAGGTCTCAACAACACAAATACTTCTGACATTTTACTGACATGCAGAGAGAGGGACAATCTCAGATTCTTGCTGTAAAAGAAAAGAAAAGCAATAAAGCTGCTCCTTTCAACAGCCATGATCATGCAGATCACTCACTTTTTGTGTTTTAAAACGTACAATGCTATCAATGCCAAAAGAGGATAATAACTGTTTATATAGTGTTCTCCTTTAAATGCAGCTCCAAATTTGGGGCCTTCTGTTATTGATGACGCCCTCCTACCTGCCCGCCGGCGCCTTCCGTTTTAAAAAGATACTTGATGGGTTGGTCGGCGAAGGTGGCTGCTGACTGGATGGTGGCGATAGCTGCCGGGTCCTCTGCTGTAGCCACCGAGCCTGGAGGAATAACACGGAAAGAGCTCTAACAAACGCAGAGCCGAATAACAAAAGCGGGCCCGTTCCGGGTGGGTTTCGGGGGGCTGTTGGTTTGTACCCCGGTGCCTACGGTCGTCCCGGGCTTACCTTCCTCGTTGACGGCGACAGTCCCGTCGGCTTCTGGGCTTTTCTGCTGGCTACTCTCGCGATAAAAAAAAAGAAACAAAACGGTTTTTGTGAACCCGCTTTTTTTTATAGACCCAGGCACGCGAACCTATTAAATTAATTTGACTGTTCTCACAGGATATTAGCGCATGTAACCGTCCTACTTACCTCTTCATTTCTGGCTAGGATCTTGGACGAGGGCGCCGCCTTCACTCGCTCCAACAGCCAGACTGTGGAGATAATTCATGAGTTTGATAACGCCCGACACCGAGAGTCCAAGTCGGTTCAACGAAAAGGTTTTTAAAACTGGCATACAGCTAAAACGGTGCCACGAAAAAAAGGTTGACGGAGGCGAGCTGAAACGGATGAGGGAGCCATAGCGGGTGTACCCCGGGGTGACACCGGAAACACAGACACACCCTTCAGAATAAAACCATGCCCGTGTTGTGATTGAAGGAATAACTTAAACATCTGTCGAAAAAGCTATTAGCAACCCTTGAAAACATCCATCCCATGACATTTAAATGATATGTTTTGCCAAATGTCTACTCTATCTTGCTGTTCTTTTTTATTTTTGCAGCACCCTCCGTTTTGGTTTGACACTCGAACCGGAAATGCAAGGAATAATTGTGATCCATCGACAATTATCCTAACCTTAACCAGTCGGCCCCAGCGGTTTTTACAGATGTTAAACAAAACCATTTAGTGTCTATTCCCTGTGTGGGTGACTTCCTACAAAAGGTAACACGTTGAAAAAGAGAAACTCTAAGAAACAATCAACTACACAGTTCCCAATCATTCTGGATATGTAGCAGCCTGAACAAAGATCCACTTACGCTGCAGTGGTCCCTCCTCCGATATTTGTCAACACACCAGCGTCCGAGGCGTCGTCGACAGTACGCATGCGCAACAGGAAATTGAGTTACACGGTTCTAGATCCGGTGTTGTCGAAAAGGTTCGCCACGTGCACACGGACAGCAATTAATCGCGCGCTTTTTTCTCCAACAAAATTTTATTAAAAAGTTTACAGTACAAAATGTAACCAATATTTTACAATAAAAAATGCACGACAAAGGGAGATTTGAAGCATATAAAGGTGCAAACTAAAAAACAAACAGAAAAAAGAAAAAGGCCAAGACATTTTAAGATGCTCAAAAACGATTTAACCAAATTTACCATTTTGAATTAAACTTCAGTTATTTTTTCCAGAGGGTTTTATCGAGCTTACGTTTGAAGAAACGGCATTTAAATAATTAGTGTGTACCTAATGTAAGTAGACTATTGATACCATATTCAACTACTACCAGCCTTATTCAATACCACAAATCGGATTAATTTGTTATATGACAGCATCTATCTGAATCCTTTTGGATAACATCCACATATAAAAGTCAAGCCAAAACCTTTTAACCGTAACACAATAAAAAAGGACATTCCAAGTTCTCACATTCTGTCTCACAAAAGTCACAGCCCCTGATGCCCATCTAAACATTTTTCTTAAAATATTCTCGATGGGTAAATATTATTTATGATGTTGAATTGAATTTCTATCAATTTAGGTGGGATAGGAAGTTACATAATTTCAGTCCTAATATTTCTTACATCCTCGTCCTACCTCTTTTAGAATATAGTTCTTCTTGATTGGATTGAGAAGCCCATCAATGCAGAGTTGTGTCACATTAGGAGTGATATTAGAGTATAGTATGTATTTTGTAACCATAGGCTGACCTTAGTTGAAGTCCAGACGCTCTGAAAAAGGATTTATGGTTTGAAGAGCTAAGAGGATTTGATCTTCGAAAATACTTTTACTATTGAAAAAGATGGTAAAGCATATTATTACCAAAAAATATACAAAAAGAGAAGAGAGAGCAAATCCTTTAAGAAGTTGAATGGTCTTATTTTATCTACTATTTTGTCAGCGCTTTTTCTCTCATGGTGAATGCAGATATTTCAGTCCTTAATATGTTCATTAAACAGAGGTACAGAGGAGGATTGAGGCCACTTGGGGGAAAATAATAGTATTGATTATTATTAGTATTCATTTAATCTCAGAATTCTGAGATGCTCTTTTCCAGAACATTAAACAAACTCGTGGGGGAGTTTTTTTCTTCTCATTTCTGAAAAAAAAAATCATAATTCTGATTTTTTTCTCAGAATTCTATTCTTCATTCTTAAGTGGCCTTAATCCTCTTCCGTACAGAGGCGTGACCTCCCCTCTGTAAGTAACGTTATATTGATTATGACCAACCGGAAGTCCCGAATCTGTCGTCTAACTTGACGGATTTCCACTTTAAACTAAGCTAGTTCGTAGTCAAATTGTCAAAATACTTAATACTTACGGGAAATACACATGTGATAAAATTTTATTGGCATTTTTTAAATTAAATCTAACATTTGTACTGAATTTATGACGAAAGTGAAAGCCAATGTGAAACCTCATTCAGATCTGAAAGAAGAAAGTCAACTGTTACAACTGTAACTGAGGTTGTAATTAGGGAGAAAAACTGTGACGATGACACAGGTTTGACCAACGGATGATGGAATGATTTGAATTGTTAGTAATAAAAGTAAAAGCACTGGACAGCGCCCGTGGTTCGATCCCGCGAACGGGAGGAATCAGCGTATTCTACAGGAGAATTGTTGAGAGAAGTAACCGCTGAGCTACGCCAGTGCGGAAGTTCAATAGAGAAATAGCTGTTATATCATATCAACTAAAACAAATAAAAGTGAAATGGCAAACTTTTCTATCAATAAAAGCGAATCAGCAAAGTTATAATTTAGCTCATTTTCATTTGTAAGAAATATAAAGGGCTATATGTTTTTTGAATCAAACAAAAAATGCTCTGTACTCATGACGTAAAAAAAAAAAGTCTCATGATGGAAAACTCCACATAGAAACATGACGTCATCACCAAGAGCCAGCTAAAATCAGAAATGCAGACAACAATTGCCCAACAAAAACGTTTTGTAACTACTTATGACTAATTTAAGTACGGTAGCCATTTTTTTGTGATGCAAAATGCCATCCTTCATTATAGTTCAGGAAGGACCAATTCCGTTTTACAAATAGCAGTACATAGCAGTACACTTTTTTATTACCAATATAATATGTGGAGTACATGATTGAGGTTCTGCTGCTCAAAATTCCCACAGCTGATCCCTTAAGATGACTAGTTGTGTGTGACGAAGAAAGTCAGAATCATCAGAGCTTGTAGCACGTTTGGAGTTTGCTGTTGCGATAAGAATGTGGCAGCAGAGCAGGGCTTTAAAGAATCTGAGGAGAAAAACAGAAAGAGGTCAGACTCATTCAGCTCAGAGCATTCAGACAGGGAAGTTACAAAGAAACCTTTGTGTACACATGTCCCCGATGGCTGACTGAGACAAAAACAGTGACATAGATAAAATAGAACAAAATAGAAATAGAAAAAAACAACAAAACAATGATCATTTGAAATTGTATTCATTTCAAATCCATTTGAACAAGACATTCATCTCAGTGAAACATTGTGTGGGATCAGTGAAATGCTTATTGTTCTTTAAAATAATGAATAATCTTAGCCTGTTATTGTTTTAGAAGGATTAGAAGAAGTATTAGCTAGTTATCAGCATATGTCCAACTTTTTGTAATGCCGAAAGTAAAAAAAACTCCTCAGATTTGAGGCCATTTACTCAAAATGAATAGTTTAACATAGATTTAGGCTCTAGGGTGTGTACTGACACATGGTGATATTTCACGTCTGTGTAATGTTACCTATAGTTATTGTTCTATTTTCCTTCCTCTTCACTCTTGTCAGTATGCATGTGTAGTTTTTAGAACTTTGCTTAGGATGCTCAATGAGGTATTCGCAGAACTTGTTGGACGCTTTGGCCAGGACTTCTCCGTTTCCGGCCTGGAATTCACAGTCGTAAGGTGGAGAGCCCGCGCACTCTGCATAATGACAGCTCAGTCTGCCAAATAATCAAACGATACGGTTAATACCATGCACTCTTCATGTAAATATACAGAAAATGCATTTTACTCTGTAACTTTTGCTCCAACCTGACACTGGCGTTCTTTTTACAGGCGGTAAAAATGCCAAAATCCCCTTGCTTTTTGCCAGAGGCTGAACCTGAAACCAGATGGGAGATTGTTTGTGTGAGTTACATATAAATCTGTTTTTGTGACTTGTGTAGAATGCAATATCAAGAAACGTACATTCATATTTCCACATGAATGCTCTCTGATGGTTTATGATCATCTTAATTTAACTTGTACTGAATAATGACAAAAAAAGGAGGGATTCCACGATTACCGTGGGCCAGACACAGAGGAAAAACGATAGAAGCTACTCTGAAATAACAGAACCAAAATGTACACTGATGGTGATTCATAGTTCTATCATTTAGAGCCGTGGAGGTTGTTGGTCTAACAAATTGGTGAGCAGTCTCAGCTGCTCAGCTCTCTGTGCTAAGGTATTTTTCTGGGCATGGAAAAGCCCAAATTGTGATTGTGCTTTAAGGTTATGATAGACAACGAATAAATAGAAACAAAAACACTCAATTTCTCCATTTTCCACATTCTGCAGACATTTGTTCAAACAGGTCTGTAAATGTCAAACTACATTTAGATACAAAAAAATAAGGGCATGAAATGATGTACATCTGTGAAGTGATGACATGAACCCATAAACACACATGAACAGTGTCTTTTACAGTGTGGCACCCAAAAAAACAAACAAAACAAAAGTAGGTAGGTCTGTGTATTGTATTTTATTAGATTAGATTTAAAATTTAACGCTTACATGGCCCACTAGATGGCAGAATTAATGAATGAGCCAACCTCAATGATGGGAAAAGGTATTGACGTGTTTTGCCATTTTGATGGAAGTCCTACAAGAAGTCTTACAACAGTCTAATGATCCTCTGAGGAAAACAGTCGGTACAGAATTGAGATCTGTCTCTCAATTGTCACTTTGATTTCCATTTTAAATAAGGGAATAGTGCGCTTAAATAAATGTTTGATATAATACTCTTTTTTTCTTTGTTTGCTAGTTTCTTGATAACAAAAGTTAAAAATGTGTCTCATTGTCCCTTTGTCACACTGAAACAAACCTGAGAACAATCATTTTCTACTGACAAATACAAGTGGGTTTGGTTACGCCCGTGGCCTTGTTTCGATTAACTGAAAAGGTTATTGTAAATAAAGACTGTGTCTGCCTCTTCTTGGTTTCCATCTTTATTCCTCCAATAATGCTAATGGACTTTCAAAAGAACTCATTGTCACTCCACGTGAATCTATGCAATCGCGCCTCCCAAAAAGCAGCAGTCAGATTCAGAAGGACAAGAAAAACACATTAACCAGCGTCAGTAATAAATGAGAGATGACTGAAGATTTTTAGTGTCAGATTCAGTGTTTGGATCCAGTTAAAAGCTTCACAACTTTCTTGATGCCACATTTGCCTAGAAACATTTCAGCAAATAAAAACACACTTCATCCAGGATTGAAGATACAAAAAAAGGTTTAACAGAGTTTGGGTCCAACATAAGTAACAGTCCTCAAGTAATCGAACAGTGAATTCCAAAACTTTGTTTTTTTGTCCATTTTCATATAGTATTAAATCATTAAAGGGCCTAATCTAACTGTTTATTGGGAGATTAGTGCTAGCAGTCAGGGCTTCTAAATTATTAACATGCCTCTCAAACCCCATTACAAATAGATTGATGTTCTAACCCTTATGAACACATTTGTACTCAACTATAATAGTTGTGTCTTACAACTGGCCGTATACCAAAGGCTTTTAAATTTGATGTCACTGAATCATTACTGAAAAAGCCCATTCTCAATCCCATCATGGCACAGGACAGACCAATATCCGTCCTTCCTGTGTGAACTTTGGTTGGTTGAAGCCGGATTGATACAGACCAGAGTTAGTCGGGGTTCTTAACTTAGTTCTAGTTCTACCAGACTTATTTCTGCCTTTGTTGTGTAATTGTATTCAACCCATGACATAGAATTCCATTATTTAGCTGACAACGTCCAGCTTGTCTTCCCTACAAGACTGCAGATTAATAATAATGATAATAATAATGATAATAATAATGATAATAATAATG